TGAAATCTCCGGTTTTTTTCATGGGTTTGGAGTATAAGGTTGGTGGGTGCAGAAGCAATAGAAGTGCTGATGAAAGTAAGGCAAATCTGGGCTTGCATGTGATGATGATGATGCATAGTTCCCTAGATTAGAAGGCGCCTCCTAAAATCCAAAGAGCCTTTCTTTGATTTCTATGCTTTTGTTAGTTTTTCAATTATTATTTTTAAATTAATTCTTTGAAGTCGTTTGTCTTCTAATGAGATATCCTTCTGGAATTATTCCCTATTTCTTTTGCCATTTCTACTTTTTTATCCACATTTCTGTCTTTCCTGTGTACTTTATTGGTGGCCCAAAGGTCAGCCTTTACCTACTCCTCCCTGAAGTGTTAGGCCATCTCTAAAGCAGAAGTGTTTTAACAGCTCCCTGTTAATGGGTGTCCTGTGGTCTCAAGGCTCAGACAGGCTGCCCCCAGGCGCGGCTCCGCTCCAGCTCCGCTCCAGCTCCGAGTTCTCGTTCCTTCCTGCATCATTGGCCTTTACATTTCCTGGTTGCAAAAGTTTTTATTTCACAGATGTTGAGTCGAATGCTGCCAGTGAACACACCATCCAGGTTATTTTGATGCTACTGTAATTCTTCCCTAGCATGCATGAGATGTCCTTGCTGGGAGAGGCAGAGAGAAGGGGCTGATTCATTTTCCTCGGGCAGGTTTTCTTTCACTCTGATGATCACCCAAGCCATGGGTGAGGGAACTGATCAATGGCTGCTTCCTCTTTTATAGAGAACAGACATCAAGTTAGTGGTCTGTCCTTACTTTGTGAAAAAGCAAAATGATAACAATTATGCTCCCCTGCTCCCCTCCCTGCAATATTTTGAAACCGCCTGTAAAACCCAGAAAAAACCCAGACAAACCTTCTCTCTCACCAAGTACCAGAGCAGGTCATGTTTCTAGAGGTGGTGGGAGCATCTGGACAATTTATTTTAGTAAGCGTACTGTTTCCAGTTCCAATACTTTCTTCAACCCAAACCAAGGCAGCAAACAATATTAAAAACATCAGGAATGCCCTGGCCGGTTTGGCTCAGCGGTTAGAGCGTCGGCCTGCGGTCCAGAGAGACCCGGGTTCGGTTCCCGCTGGGCACATACCTCAGTTGCAGTTTTTCCCGGCCCTGGTTGGGTCGTGCGGGTGGCAGCCACTCAATGTGTCTCTTTCACATCATGTTTCTCTTTCTCTCTCTCTTCCTCTCTCTCCCTCCCACTCTATCTGAACAAAAAACGAAAAGATGTCCTCTGGTGAGGATTAAAAAAAAAAAAAATCAGGAATGATTAAGCATGCACTTTATAGTATTGACTAATTCATTGGCTGTTTTTTGTTTGTTTTTTTAATGGGTAAAGGACCAGTAAAGGCTTTGCTCCAAACGAAAAGAAAAACAAAAGTCAGCTTCGGCAACAGCAGAGATTGGAAATGTTCTGGTATGTGTATGTGCTTTGTCAGCTGGCAGATTTGTTTTAGGAAACTATTTGCAAAGCCTGGAAAAAATGTGCTGTCTCTGTCCCTGAAAAGAATGTGCAGGTCGATGCGTGTTAGTCTCCCACGTGATGATTCTGACCGGTGGGCTTTTAAAATATGCAGCCCCGTCCAGATTTGGCATCGAAATGATATCTTTAAACTTGAATTATTGTTTTTTTAAACTTGAATTATTGTTGTTTTTTTTTTTTACAAAACTAAATATTGAAGTGTGTGTTTGTTGCTACTTGGGAGAGGCTTTCGCTAAAGTGTGTTGTTTTTGAAAGGAGGAAGGATGTTTGTGGTAGGTACTTTTTATTCTTTTATTACTTTATCTGTCATGGCCTCTTTAAGAGATACTAGTTAATTCAGTTAATAGAACCAAAACTAGAACTCCTCCAAATTATGTATTTATGTTTTTACAATTCTATTTTTATACTAGGTTGGAGATTGGGTTGATTCCGAACGGGCTATTTTGATATTAAGACTATTGTTCTACAGGTAGTCATTACATTGTATTCCTTAGTCCAGGAGAATAATACTAAGAATCAGTTAAGAGGACGAAATTTTACAAGGTAAAGCCATTTTTTTTTAATTGCATGTTCAAATATCATTGAATACCTGACAAATACCTTTTTAAGTATAAGCACTTGTTAGTTATCTATTGCTATGTAACAGAAATCTTTGTAGCTTAAAAGAACAAACAGTTACTATCTCACAGCGTATGTGGGTGATCTGGATGCGGCTTAGCTGGGTGCCTCTGATTCTCAAAAGGCCACGGTCAAGATGTCAGCTAAAGCTGTGATTACCCCAAGAGTCAACTAGAGGTTGCTTTTAAGCTCATTCATGTGGTTGTTGACAAGATTCAGTTCCTTTGGGACTCTTGAGTTAAGGGCCTTACTTCCTCACAGTTAGCTGTTGGCAAGAGGCCTCCTTGAATTCCTTGCTGTGTTAGTCTCTCCACAGGGCAGCTCATAACATGGCAATTGGCTTCTTTAGAAAGAGGCAGAGGGAGAAATTAGGAGTCAGTCTTTTTGTAACCTAATATCAGGGGTTGGGACCATTGCGAGTCAACTACAACCACAGTTCTTAACCAAGCTACCAAAAGTTGGGGTGCTCCAGTTGTGTGACTTTGAAGACGTATGGAAGTGAGTCAAGGAGGGGGGTCCCTTCTGTGGATGCAGAGGACAAGGTTCTCTGTGGAGGGTTTAATAGTCATCCTGATATATTTCTAGGACATCTGTAATATTTCACTCCCTAATAGAAAAGTAACTACTTCTTGACAGAGTCTCAATGGTGAAAAGTGATCCTACACCTACCCCTCACTAACCCACACGCCAAAGAAACAAGCCTATAGTGTAGGGGGAACTTTTTTTTTTTTTACCTAGTTTAAAGCAAATTTCCCAAGTTTTCTTAGATTCAAAATAGTAAGGAAAAACCTAAACTGTATATACTACGGAATAGGATCATTTCTCCCCTTGCTCAGCACCCCAGCACCCTACCACACACTCACCTCCCAAGCATCTGTAAATCTATATGCAAACATAAAGTCCTCTGAGTGAAGTGGAAAATGTAACTCTGAAAGGGTACGCTTTGCAGGATGTTTGAAATGTATATTGCTAGAGTAGTTCCAGTCTCGGCCCAAGTAGAAAATATTAAATGTTTTCTAGTCATCAAATACTGAAACTGGGGATTGGGTAAACCAAACTTGATCTATTTAACAAATTCTGAGCCCTCCCCATGTGGGAATCACAGGGAATATCCAGATAAGTTACACTTTAAAACCCCTCCGTGGGTGCCATGGGGAGAGCTGGAAGTTGGAAGCAGGGCAATTATCTAGTGAGCCTTTTGACAATTTTGTCAGTGTCAAACTTTTTAAAGTTTTAGAAAAAAGTTGTGGAATAAAAAAGTTTAGATTGGGGTATCTTCCCAGCTCCCCTTGCTTTGTCACTCTCCTTGACACCCTAAGCATCCAGATCTTCCCAGATCAGTGCCCCATGATTACTAATTGCCCCATCCTCCTTTATATCCCCTTTCTCCACTCACATCTACAGTCCATAAATCCATCCTCTTATAAGAAGGAAAAGAATCGAATGAGCTAATTTATACTAAGGTGGGAGTGAATGATATACAAACCACTTAGTACATTAAATCTTCTAAGCAGTGTTTCAAAAGAGTATTTAAAAACATGGATATCTTAATTCATAACATTTCAGTTAGTTCAACAAAGTATAGTTTAATTTCTTTTATTCAAGTACAGCTTATATTCAATATTATTTTGTATTAGTTTCTGATGTACAGCATAGTGGTCAACAAAGTACAATTTCAAAAACAGTTTCAAGCAAAGTTAGAGATTTTTTTAGAATTTTATTTATTGATTTGAGAGAGAAAGAGGAAGGGAATGAGACAGACAGACAGACATTGATTTGTTGTTCCACTTACGTATGCATTCAGTGGTTGATTCCTGTATGTGCCCTGACTGGGGATCAAACCTGCAACTTTGATGTGTCTGGATGATGTGCTAACCAACTAAGATACCCAGCCTAGAGTTTTATATTTTCTTAAAGTGGTCAGTTTTCCCCAGCAGGTTTCAAATATTTATGTAGTTGTGATTTTTTTCGATGGGAATCTGATCCAGATAAGACCCAAGATTGTGAACATTCCAACTTTCCTTTTGGGTCTTCGCTATTGAAACAAAGTAGTTGGACTTTTCTTAAACAAGTGAGTGGGTTTTAAGGAGAGCTCAAGAGCTTTTACCTGTTTCTAGAAGGGAAGATTCTCTTTGTCCCAGCTTGAGGGCCGGCTTTATCTAACAGGAGGAATGCTGGTTTTCCAAGTCCTTTCTTAAGAGGAACTTTTATCTGTCTCATAAAAAGAAGGGATGAGAATTGAGGTAACAGGAAAGGTACTCTGCAAATATGGGATATGTTAGCATCTAGTCCATGTTCGAAGACAAATTATCAGTAGTAATATTAGTTGTTCAACATAAAGACACCATATCTGATGTTCAAATTGTAATTCATCAACTGGGAAAGAATGGATTATTTTCCCCTTCAAAAATCTTTAAAAAGTGGTGTAATAACAAGTATAAGAGTTTGCTGGTTTTCTGTTTGTTTTTCTCACTCTCGTTGATTTCTGTTCTGGAGTGCATTTTTAAAAACATAATATGACTAAAGAGAAAGAATATCGGGCCGTTTATTATAGTGTTTCTAAACAATTTGGTAACATTTTGTCTCTGGCTACTTCACTGCATTTGCTTTTTATAGGAGCAGGGTTAGAGGCCCCCGAAGTTCCGAATACAGTGCTAGCATTTATACAGAGCACTGCAGCCTGGCCCGCGGGGCACCGAGGTCACTAAGGGGCAAGCTGCTGCTTGTGACAACACCCCCGGTGCCTCCTCAATCTGGGGCCCTTTGCCAGTGCAGGCAGCCTTGTGTGGACTCTGACTTGCGCCCTAGAACAGGATTCTTGCTCCATTTTTCTTGCCCTGATTTCCGAAGATGGACCATTCTCTTCACCCTACACATCAGGGGTTTTCTTTCCATTTCCATTTTTCACTGATTTGAGTTTGTGCTTTGATTTAACCTAAAATATTAGAAATAGAAATAAACACAAATCGTGGCATTAGACCATGGAATGACAAGACAGGATATGGCAAATGTTTTACTTCCACGCATTTATTTATAAACCTTCCCATTCTAAAAGATATCTGAGGCAGCTTATGGAGATTGTAAAATAAGGTATAACATTTCTGGGTTAAAGGAGATAAGGGGAGGGAAATCAATCTAAACCTGGATAAGGTTAATATGCAGAATATATTTTAAGGTCCTTGACAGCTCCTTAAAAAGTCAGTTGCAAGTCTGACTTGAGCTTCCTAGCAGGCAAGCAAACGAAAGGAAACACAATAAACTACAAGATTCATATATCCCCCAAATTTCAAACAGACTAGTGCTCCTGTATCTGTGCTTCTTAAATTCAAAAGTGCACTTGAATCCCCTGAGGTGCTGTTGAAATGCAGGTTCTGATTCCGCTGGTCTGTGGTACATCCTGACTGGCCCCCCAGGAACTCTGATGCTGAAGCTGCTCCTCCCTGGACCACTCTTTGAGCAGCAAAGTCTTAGCTCTGCACAATACCCGTTTACATCACATGCTCCCACTTAAAAATATATAGCCACGTTTGCAGGTTTCTAGGCAACTCTGGAATGTACCAAATATTATATTAGCTCTAAGATTTCTAACTTAATTTGCTCTTTAAAAAAAATTTTTTTTCTTTATTGATTTTTTAGAGAGAGAGGAGGGAGAGGGAGAGAGAGATAGAAACATTGATGAGAGACAACGTCAATTGGCCGCCTCCTGCATGCCCCCCCACTGGAGATCAGGCCCACAGCCTGGGCATGTTCCCTGACCGGGAATCGAACCAGTGACCACTTGATACATAGGTCGACAGTCAACCACCGAGCCACACCAGCTGAGCTTAATTTGCTCTTGATGTATTTAAAATATCAAAACCCCTGTCTAACACTGAGGACAGTAGCCATTCTCATCTTCTAAGTTAAGTATGTTATCGCAAACCTTTTTTTTTTTTTTAAGTTTATTTGTTTGGGGAAACATTCTTTTTAAAAAAATCCTCACCCAAGGATATTTTTTCATTGATTTTTTTTTTAGAGTTTGAAGGAGGGAGGGAGAAAAACATCGGTGTGAAAGAGTCACATCAGCCCTGGCCGGTTTGGCTCAGCGGTTAGAACATTGGCCTGAGGTCCAGAGAGACCTGGGTTTGGTTCCCACTAAGGGCATGTACCTCGGTTGCAGTTTGTCCCCAGCTCTGGTTGGGTCATGTGGGTGGCAGCCACTCAATGTGTCCCTTTCACATCGATGTTTCTCTCTCTCTGTCTTCCCCTCTCCCTCCCACTCTATCTGAACAAAAATTGGAAAAGGCATCCTCGGGTGAGGATAAACAATAAATAATAATTTTAAAAAAAAAGAGTCACATCAATTGATTGTCTCCCTTTCAACTGCAATGGGTGCCAGGGATCGAACCCTCAACTGTGGTGTGTGCTCTTGACCAGGAATCGAACCCATGACTCTTTGGTCCGTGGGCTGATGCTCTAACCACTGAACAAAACGGCCAGGGCTGGGGAAACCTTCTTTAGCCCTTGTAAGTAATACAATAAAAGACCATATTATAGCCCTGGCCATTTTGGCTCAGTGGTAGAGCATCCGCCCGCGGACCAGTGAGTCTCAAGTTAGATTCCTGTCAAGGGCACATACCTTGGTTGCGGTTCATCCCCGGCCCTGGTCTGGGTCCTGCGGGAGACAACCTGTCAATGTGTCCTTCTCACGTCAGTGTTTCTCTCTCTCCCTCATACTCTACCTGAAGATAAATAGAAAAATATCCTGCCCGGCTGGTGTGGCTCCGTGGTTGAGCATCAACCCATGCACTGAGAAATTGCTGGTTTGATTCCTGGTCACGACACATGCAGATTGTGGGCCAAATCCCCTGTGGGGAGCATGCAGGAGGCAGCCAATTGATGTTTTCTCTAATCGATGTTTCTCTCTCTCTCTCTCCTTTCCTCTCTCTCTAAAATCAATACAAAAGAAAAGAAAAAGAAAAATATCCTCAGGTGAGGATTAAAAAAAATGTTCTGGTGAGTCTGATTGTTGATCAGTGATACTGTTTACTGTTTTTCTTAGAAATAGCAATGGTTGTGGGAACTGGATCTAGTATTAGCTTCAGAGAACCCGGATTTGAATTGCACTGTGCTAGCTGTGTTACCTTTTGCAAGATATGCATCCTCTCTGTGCCTCAGTTATATCATCTGCCTAGTGAGGGTCATAGTAGTACCTGTCATAGGTACCATTAGCTACTGTTAGAACAGTGCCTGCACATAGTAAGATTTAAATAATGTTAGCTATTTTTATTATTACATTTAAAATAAATTTTTCTGGCAGTGAAGGTGAACGACAAATAAAACAATCTCCTCAGTTTCTCACCTTGCATAAGTACCTTAAAAATATATCTAGATTTGCAATTTTCTTTGTAGTGTTTGACTAAAAGACACCAGATAACTGTAAGATATTGGTGATATTAATAGGCATTTGGATTTCGTCTTGTTGGAATCAAAGTCTGCTGCTAACATATTTCTAAAGGGAGTAAGAGGCACTAACCTTTTCCCGTAGCTTTTTAATGAGGGCATCTCGTTTATGCGATTGGTTCTGCTGCATTTCCACTTCAGCAAATAGCTCATCAATTCTTTGGCTCTGTCTTTGCAAAAAGGGCTAGAGAAGGAGAGTTTTAAAACACAAGGAAAGGAAAAGAAATTACTTTGAAGTTGCCAAAATAGGTTGGCGAGCTTTTTCTATACAAAGCTGTTTCCGCAGTTGCATCAGGAGAGCCAGCGTCTAATTTCCATGACCGTCCACCTCAGCCCAGTGCCTAGTGCTGGTGGTCGGCTACAAAACCGTCGTTTGTATTTCAAGCTAGAAGAAAACTAATAAAATAGGAAAAACAATTTCATGGTATTTTATTCTTTCCCACCCCAATATCTATATCCAAGAACTTTTGAGACCTCCCCAAGCCCCAAATCACCCGACCACATCATTTAAAATATATTGGGAATCACCCACTTTTTCATTTGTTACATATATGTACTTTATATATAACTTTATCACGGTCTGCTAAGTAGGAGGAAAAAATTGTCACTGTAGGTTAAATTCAGTAGAGCTGTTGTTGACTGATTGAGAAAATGTTGCATTTGGTAAGCATTTTATTTATTTATTATTTATTTATTATTTATTTTGGTAAGCATTTAATTTAAAACTCACTAATTTTGGTTTTGAGCTTTTACTTTGTGTATTTGGGAGCTAATTATTTTTGAATGTTCAGACATCTTTGTGGATTCTTGAAATGTTCATAGGTATTAGGCTCTGTACTTATCATCCTCAGAGAATATGACCCTGCCCACAACCCAGTCCTAGCTCAGAGCAGAAAATCATCAAACACTTGCACACTTGTAAGGAAATGGCTTTTAGTGACTAGGTGGACCTGGACGAGTGTTCCCTCAAAAAGAGCGTTTTGTCATTTTCTGAGGGACTGTGAGAGACAGAAGGGCAAGAGTGTATCAGAGAAGAACAGTGTCTGAGGGACACAGAGAGGCAGAGAGAGACACACACAGAGTAAAGACAGACAGACATGGAGACAGAAAGAGACTGAAAGATGGAGAGAGAAACCCAGGGAGGCTGATGGATTCCCTAAGTAACATATATTAAGATCTTATAGTCCTGCAGACTCTTTGAGTGTATTTGAAGTTCACTCAACTGCTTTACACAATCCTGATAAGAAGATCATCTTCATTGGTGTCCAGTTTTGCAGTTTACAGCAAAGGACTTGTCAGGTATCACTGAATTGAAACTTAGAGCCAATCTTTTTGTTGCGGGTGAGGAAATTGACTTGTCCACCTTACATTTGTAGAACATTTTGTGATTTTTAAAGAACCGTTCCACCCATTATCTTATTTGGTGGCCACTGATCACAGGTCTCCATACAAGCCCATCTTCCCTGGGGTAACAGCAGCTTAAATTAGGGGCATTAGTGATATTCAAAAGGCAGTGGAGATAACCCAGGCCACAGAATCAGCAATTTTTTATTTTGTGTTTTTAAAACCATATATTTGATATATGCTTGTTACAGCTTCTGCACTAAGATAAGAGAAAGGAAACCAAAATTGACACCAATTCCATTTCAAAATCAAATCCACTTTTCTCATTTCCCCAAACATATCATCTTCTAGCCCTAACCCTTCATGCATATTCAATTTTTGAATATTTATAACCCTGTCATAGATAAAATTTTATATCCTGAATTTTCACTCAACATTATCCAAGGAGTACAAGCCATTTAATTCACTTCAGTCTCACTTTCAAAGAGAGACATAAGAAGCAACAAGGGTTGTTTGCCTTTGAATAACTACAGTTAATCCTTTGGCTCTCTTTGGAAATCCCAAGGCCTTATAAATAAAATATTCTCAGAGAATAGAAAGCTAGCTTTTTGCTTTATGACATGATCAAGTGTTCCTCCACCTACACCTTGGGTGCAAGTGACACCAATATTTCTTTCATTCGAAACATGGCTTCGGTTGCCATTACCAGCAACGGCAGATGCATAAGCATTTGCATTACAAAGGGTTGGTCTGCACCACCACCCTTAACCAGGCTTTCTCACAGCAGAAACAACTCCAACTTCGTGAATCTTACTTGAGGATCCATTCTCCAATAGAATGGCATTTCTGTTTTAAAAGAGTAATAATATTAAAAAATGTATTTTTTTCCGATAAAACAACAGTCAACTAAAATGATCAATAATGACCTACTCACCATGATGTCATCCATCACGTCTGTCAAAGAAAGCCCACCTGCCTTGAAGAACACTGCATCCTCCATCTTCTGCTCCAGCAAGTTTAGCCTCTCACTGAATTTCTCTCTCTGCTTTATCCCTGCAACCAGCTGATGCTGGAGCTCAGCCACCAGCTGATAGAGATCTTCATTCCTTCTGTCCAGCTGCTCAGCTCTCCTGTCCAGGTCCTCTTTCTTTCTCTCCTGCTGGCTGACTTGAGTTAGAAGCTCCACTACCGAGGCGTTCAGAGTATTCAGTTGTTTATACAGGTGGCCAATGTGATTTTTGCTGTAGCTCACTTGCATCTTGAGCTCAGTTCCAAGCTGTAGAAGGCCCTGGGAGAGAACATTGATGTCATCTTGGTGATAAGTGACAGGAGCATATCTTTCTCTTTGTTTCCTTGCACTGGATAAAGAATAGGCTAAACTGAGGAGAAGCCAAATTGATGTTTTTTGCATTGTTGCTTTGAAAGACTGCAAGGTCCTTTGGGGTAACCTGTTTTCAGCAAAGAAAATAGAAGATGGTCCCAAGAGAGTAAAGAGCAGAAAGAGTTTGGTTGACAATTTGATCTAAGAATGACAAATTTCATAAAGTTAACCTCTAACTTCCTGGAGCTGCTGAATCACAGCAGTTTACAAATTAGTTGAGAGGCTATTGCTGAATCACTGGAAAGAATTTGGAGTTTCCAAAACAGTTTGTAATCGAGAGAAGCCATCTGAAGTAGCTCTGGGAAGAACATTGTTGATGAAGACTGAATGTCCTGTTCTATGTTGTGAGGCATTTGATTGAAGCAAACCATTTTTCTTGGGGAAAGATGAGGTTATACTAAATGCCTCGCACATACACTAGACCTGTAGTTACTAAAAAAGCTTTCAAAATAATTTTGCTCTACCAAGTGATTCCTATTTTAGTTATGGGCTGCCCTCTCCAAAATTATTACATATAATTCTTAGGATTTTCTCTAGCCGATATGAGACACTTAATTTACCACATATATACTATATGAGCCTGTTTATCCGTTTGCTAATAATTACTCTGGGTGTGGATTATTGACCATGCAGGCAGATCTTCCCTCCCAACAGAAAACACTATTTACTAATATGCATTTCTTGAAAAGCATACAGATTTAACAGAACATGTCACTTAGCATATTTGCCATTAAGTAATATGATGGGCCTTGGAAAATGCATCTTCTCTTTAAAAATGTTTAGGCAAAGTTATTTAACCTCCCTGGCAGTCAGTTTCCTAGCCTGCAGAAAGGGACATTGGACTAAATTCTCTTGAAGTTTCCCTCTGCTCTGTACTCTGTGGAAAGTGCATCCAGTACCAGGCAGGACACTGAACAACTGGATGCTGTTTAAACAAAGCGGTCAGCAAAGCCCTTGGAAGCGATGTGCAAAACTGCTGGCCGGTGCTGGGGGACCTGCGAACAGTTGGTGCCGCTGCCGGGACGTAGGAGGGGAGCGTGCTGCCGGCTCACCTGCTGAACCTGTCCGGCAGGGCTGCTGCTGCGCTTTCCACACACCTTTCGTCGGCTTCAAAGCACTATACACTCTGGCTCATTACTTCTTCAATCACAGCATGAAAAAAGGCTGATTGGTGTCTTTGCAATTAATTCAAAGATGAAGAACTATATAGAACTAAAAGGGATTCTTTTACAAGTATACTATATTGCAGAAGGGCAAGATCTCACACACACACACACACACACACACACAGGGTTTATCATGACTTTATAATTTTTTTTAAAAAAGGAAATCATCTAAATGCTTATTTTGGGAGACTAGTGTAAATTATGGCACATTCATAATATGGATAGCATGCAACCATTAAAATCATGTTTATTAATAACATTTTCTCTTCCCATAAGTGGCCTGAGGTGACCTCTGAAAATGGTTCACTATTTACTCAACTCAGAAAACCCCACAAAATCATGCAAATCACGAGGTTCCAATCTTCGTGTTCACTTTAAGAACCACGTGTGAAACTGCCCAGGCCGTCAGGGATATGCATATTGGAAAAGCCACCAAGTATCTGAAGGCTGTCACTTTACAGAGACTATGTGCACCATTCTGCCATCACAATGGTGGAAGTGGTAGGTGTGTCCAGGCCAAAGAGGGGCTGGACGCAGGGTCGGTGGCCCGAAGGGTGCTGAATTTCTGCTGCGCCTGCTTAAACATGCAGAGAGCAATGCTGAGCTTCAGGGTGTAGATGTAGATTCTCTGGTCACTGAGCACGGCCAGGTGAACGAAGCCCCCAAGATGCAGAGCTCATGGGTGGACTAAATTACACACGAGCCCTCCCTGCCATGCTGAGATGATCCTCACTGAAACAGAGCAGAATGATGACCCAGCAATTCCCCTTCTGAAAATATATCCGGAAAAATAAACAAATACAACCAAGACATTAAAACTCTCTCAGCTGCAGCAGATACTCCTTTACAGGCAACAGAACAAAGAACACTGTCTGTTAGGATCAGATGACTGCAGCAGAGGAGGAAGGAGCAGCAGTAGCTCCCTCGCTCCTCCAAAAAGAATCCACTTCTGAAAGGAAAACCTCCTTCAGAAAAATCCCCTCTTGATTGGTTAAAATAAGCTCTAGGCCTTATTCACTGGTTCTCCATCTTCTCTTTTCCAGAAACCTTCTGTATGTCTACCCACAGAGGCTGAACTTCACTAACAAACTCGCATCTGCCCGGAACATTACAATAAAGATCCAGTTCATGTGTGGAGAGGATGCTAGCAGCGCCATGCCGGTAAAGAGGGAAATAAACATTTGCCTCCCACCAGGGTGTGCTGAACTTCCCTCGTCCATTCCCACGGACAAAATCCGGGGCTCGTGGGCGTGCCGAGCATGTCTATTCAGGACGGCACAACTCAGCATGTGCAGAGTAGTCCAGTGTTGGCCCCAGCATGCCGATGGGGAGACAGGGTCAGTCAAAACTGAAAGTCTCCTGTTCTAACTTATTCCATACGGAGCTATGAAATTTGGAAATGCAGATTATAGTAGAGGACTGAAAAATGTCATAAAGTCCACGCCACCCTCACAGCATGAGAAATAGAGAGACGGGTCCTGTGTGTCCCCCTGTTTGCTGCACGTCCAGATGTCACTGCCGCAGTCCACATGGAGAGACAGGTGTACAGGACGCCCGGGAATAATGAACACATGCCACCTCAACACCTTTGGGGACTGGATCCTCATCCTGAGGCAAAGTATAAATCAAGTCATAAATACATCATGCAGTGTTCTCTAAGGAAACCAAAATGCCAGCATTTGTATTTTTAAACTATCTACCATAAATGAAAAGGGTAGTTAGCTATTACTATTTTCTATAAGTTATAGAATTTCATTACTATAACTTCCTACTGAAATAATTTTTTTCCACTGTTCCAGTCTTCAGATATCTCCTTTTCTTTTTTAAACCATCCTCCTAATGTCTCACCTACCCTCCCCATGCAGTGGTGGTGGGAAGGAGATGCTAGAGAAGGACTCCCCAGTTCTCTCTATCTGGCTCATGGCAAGTCCGCCAGCGCTGCCAGGTACAGCTGTGCAGATCCCGAATGTGACCAACCAGGGATGAGGGCGCCCAACTCCAGCCTGTTCTCTCCTCACCAAGCCCTGCGACCCTGCAGGGATTACTGCATCTAGTAGAAAGGGCCCTTTTCTCTTTGCCCAAAGGGGCGTCCACTTGTCAAATCATGTACCATTAGTGCTGAATCAGGCCCAAGAGGTGTCTTTTTCTAAATAGTATAAACATGTGGACAGTGAAGGTCCTGATCATCCCAGTGACCAGGCCCATGCCTTTGGAAGGAAAAGAACCATGACCAGGGATCTTTAACTGAGGGCAAAACAATGTGACTTTGTCCAAAATTGTAGACCTCTAGGCAATAAGGCAGGGTGGACAGGGCCCTGGATTTCCAGTCTCACAAATCTGTGGCCCTTGGTCACTAATACCATCCCTTAAGGCCTCATTTTTACCCTTTGTAAACACTTCTTTTGCATCTGTGTGGTCAGGCTAGTTATAGGACTCAGCATTCCTTTTATTTTTTTTTTTCTTTATTGATTTTAGAGAGAGAGGAAGGGAGGAGAGAGAGATAGAAACATCGATGAGAGAGAACATTGATTGGCTGCCTCCTGCATGCCCCCCACTGGGGATTGGGCCCACATCTTGGTCATGTGCCCTTATCGGCAATCGAACCGGTGACCTCTTGGTGCACGGGTCGATGCTCAACCAGTGAGCCACACCGTCCGGGTTAGAACTCAGCATTCTTAATTTACAAAATATAGCTGTATGAGAATGGAACATCCTGTTGGGCTGATGAAGGTTGATTTGATACACCCATATATCACTGTTAATGTGGTCCTTTCTATATTGGTGAACAGGTCATCTTCGGAAAATCCAGTGGGCCTGAATTTCTGCAAGAAGTGTACACAGCCATCACATACCATAATAAGTAAGTATATTTCAGGGTTCTAACATAGGCCAAGATTATATCAGCATCTGCTGGCTTTTCTGAGTCCCCTAGGTGATTTCCTTCCAATGGTTGTTTATAATTCAGGGACTCAGGGACAGAGGAAACTCATGCTAGTTCCGTGATTGGAGATGCACAATGTTTGCCATTAACTAAGACTGCGAGAAGAACATATCGTCAAGAACCTCATATCGTTTTGATTTCTCTGGAGCCTTCTATTCTAGTATGATACAGAGAGGTTTTATGGTGTTAAATAAAGAAACACATTTCTTAACTGGCTTTGAGATACTGGGGGGCCCAGAAGCAAAACCCGACTGCCCTTTTTCTCTCTCCTCGTCTTCTATACACCACTCCACACCCGTGCCACCACCTTGTTTAAGAAAATTTAAGTTGACCAAAGGGGAAATGGAACACTCATTATTATGTGGGTAAATTGAGTTGTATAATAACGTCTGGATTACAGGTAGGAGAGGGAAATCTGTACAGGGTCATACAGACTTGGGTTTGATCTTGGCCTGATAACCTTGGCCCATTTAAATCTTCCTCTGAACCCACGTTCCTGGGTTGGGATAAGGAGCAAATAAATAATGCACAGGAAGCCCTCGGTCAAGTACCTGGGACTTTGTAATTCAGTAAAATCGGGTTCCTTTTCCTCCTCATCGTTTGGTTCTCCCAAATCCTTTGATGTGCCTGTCTGTTCTTGGGGTAGGGATTTTTCAAAAGGAGGTCATAGCAGGACACCGAACCTCATCCCCTTTTCAAATTAAGTGGTTGGATTTTTCCACTGTGTGCGGAAATCCTCCACACCCACCCTAAAGTCTTTAGTTTCTGAGTGCTCTTATGTAAGTGAAGTGTATCCAGTGACATGTGCTGGGTCTCAAGGACCTCCACCTTAGGAGCAGAATAATGTAAAATGAAAAGCAAAACACCAAAGCAGACGAACTCTGAGGAGTAAAGGGTCTGTTGCATTACAATTTATAGTCAGA